AATACTTTGGACCCAATGGGGTCCCCATTGTCACCTATAATAGCTGACATGATATTGCAAGATTTAGAAAGAAAAAAGCATTAAATAGTCTTAATTTAGAATTATCTTTTTATTATTAATACATATGGATGATATTGTTTTAGCTGCACTTTTCGATCAAATTCAAAATATTGTTGATGTGTTCAATGGTCTCTTCATAAGAGATTGCAATTTACTTCTGAAATGGAATGTAATCATTTTTAACTACATTTTTAACTTTAAGTTTTTTAGATATTTTGTTAATTGTAAAGGATGTCATAATATTTATAAATTAGTTTCAAAAGAAAATTTTTTCAGGCAGATTTCTGTCTGTTTTTTTCTAATCATCAAATTATAAGATTGGAATGATTTACAATCTTGTGGACACAGCGATTTTATTATCTCATCCTTCATTTCATAGAGAGAATTTAGAATTATGTATAAAGTTGCTTCTTGATAATGAATATCCATTGGAAATCATCTTCAAAGAAATTAATATTAGATTAAAAAAGCTCTTTAATAAGAAAAGTATAATCAGAATTTGAGCAATGTCAGTGATACAGAAGATAACACAGACACATTGAATAAAGAAACAGATTTTTTATAATTCCATTTATAGATAAATTATCTAACATTGTTACATCATGTTTAAACAAAAAGTTGATCATATAAAAGTAGGATATAAAAGTATAAATCGTCTTAATAACATTATCAAGATCCAAAAAAATAGTACTGATAAAGAATAGAAATTTAATGTAGTATATAAAATTAATTGCAAAGACGGTAATGTATCCTACGTTAGCCAAACTAAAAGACAATTAAAAACGAGAATCAAATACATTAATAATATTAAAATGGATTCGTCGAAATACTCGATAATCTCAGAACATATATTGAATTTCAATCATTCCTTTGATTGGAATAATATTAAAATCATGTATTCTGAACAGAATTCTACTAAAAGATTGATTTCTGAAATGCTTTGCATTAAAAAACAAGAAAAAGGCATTAATTTACAAAATAATATCGAGAGGCTTAATGATTCCTATATATGTTTATTAAAATCGGTTTCAAAATAAGTATGTATTAAAGTTTTTAACTTTATTATTTTTAACATAAATAGTATGTATTTTTCGCATTTGCCTGTCAGCGCTAGTTATAATCAACTCTTATCATTAACAGAAACGAATATTCCTTGTAAGTCTAATTATGTTTAAATTTCATTTAGTTTTTTCACAATTCTTTTATCATATAATTGATTTTATCTTTTATACAGATAGATATATGCGATATATTTAAATCAACCTTTGACTACATACATACTTTATTAATTGATTCTGCTCTTTCTCGTTGTCCAATGATGAAATAGTCTTGATATCCTTAGACGATTTGTATAATTTTTATTGCGACATGACATACTTTGTAATTTTTTAATATCTTTTGATGATATATATAATATTTTTTGCGATATGAATACATACTTCGTAATTTTATTCTAAAGTTCATCCAACATTTAAATATTTTGTATTAATTTTAAATTTTTGTGATTCAATTTGGCTGATAAAGACTCAGTACAGTCGAAATGTTCCATGTTATCTGTACGACATCTAATATTAATTTATAATGTAAAGTGAAATATTATATATATTATATATTATTTTAAATTAAATCTTTCTTTTGCTCGTTTTTTTTTACTTGTCTACTTTTTTAATTTTTGTGTTTATAATATCGTAGTCTTTTAATATTTTATTGAATTACAACGGTGGCAGGATATAATAAAAAATTAAATGTTCTTATCACGTTTTTGTAACATTTTATTGTACTATGCTGTGATTCAACGTTTCTAAAGGTTTAATATTAGTATAACATATTTTGCAACGGTCTTTGATCTGAAAGTAATTATTGATTAAGGTATATATGTACAGAATGTCTGAAATTTAAATGTCAAAACTTCGGGAACGTGTAAGGGATCGATAAACTACGAGGGCAAATCAATAAGTTCTTAGAAAATCTGTCAGAGGGCACTCACAGTCATGTCACATTACTTTTTGACAAGTAGCATCTTTCAGCTGATTACTGTCAAATTTTGAGTGGAGTTCATCGCGTGATTTCATTTCTGCAGACGATTAAAGCGAATAATCTTTGTATTTTTTGCAAAATGGAAAAAAAACAAGTTTCATGCAGTGATCAAACATCTACATATGAAAGGTTTAAAGAAATCCAAGTCGAGTTGGATAATGTTCATAGCACATCTGCACCAGCGTTTGCGACTGTATACAATTGAGTGAATGAATTTAAATGTGATCGTACATCCACATATGATGCATCTCATTCGGGACGTCCAATTGAGGCTGCTACGCCAGAAATCATCGATAAAGTCCACGATATTGTTTTGACTGATCGACAAGTAAAGTGCGCGAGCTTGTTGAAGCCACAGGCATATCATATGGCACAGTGATTTCAATATTTTAAAGAAAAAACGTCCCCATTTGGCGAAGAAGAAAGTGCTCTTCCATCAAGACAATGCATGGGTTCACACGTGTCCGATACCGATGGCCAAATTCAACGATTTCCGCTACGAATTGCTTCCTCATCCAGCTTATTCGCCAGATTTAAATCCCTGCAACTATTTCCTGTTTCCAAACCTGAAGAAATCGTTCGGAGGAAAGAGATTTACCATCAGAGAGCAGCTCATCGCTGAAACAGAGGCTTATCTTGAAGGATTGGACAAATCATATTATTAGGGTGGCTTGAAAAAGTTGGAGAATCGTTGGATCAAGTGTATCGAGTTGAAAGGAGACTATGTTGAGAAATAAAAATGAAAAAAATCAATCAAAAAAAATGTGTTTTACTATGTTTTTCTAAAAACTTATTGACTTGTCCTCGTAAGAAAAAAAGTCCTATAGAGATATGCACGTTTTTGCTTTCTTTTGGAAAAAAATCGCAGACAAACCGTAGTTGCTTCATTCTTATATTGCGTCTAAAGTATTATCGTCGCTAAAATCATACACAAAAACAATAATAATAATTCCGTTTTCAGGTGAAAACTTTTTTTGTTTGTTTTTGTCTAGTGGGACCATTTTTTTTTACCCGACAGATTAAATGCAGCTAGATATACAGATTTTTTGGAGATTGATTTCTTTGATTATTTAGAAGACATCCATCAGCAGCAACGAATTGAAATGTGGTTTCAATACGATGGATGTCCAGCTCATTATAGCAGAATTATTCGAGCTTGACAGACATTCGGTTAGACAGACATTTTCCATTAGCGGATTGGACGTGGATGAATAGTACTTTGGCCACCCCGATCACCTGATCTGACACCATTAGGTTTCTTTATGTGGAGGGTCTTGAAGCAGGAGGTTTTAATCGTCATCAATTAATTCAAGAGAACAATTGAGAAATCGAATCGAAGCTGCAGTGCATCAAATATCGTCACATCAGTGTTTAACTGTAACACGAGCTGTTCGTATTAGATGCAATGCTGCATTGCTACAAGAGACCAACATTTTAAACAATATCTACATTAAGCAAGTGAATAAATAGAACATGAATGAGTAATGAGAAAGTACAAAAATGAAAACTATGTTTTGTCTTTTTTACGATTTTCTCCTGTTATGCTATAGTCAATACAACTATACGTGTATGCGCATGCGAAGAGTATCGAAAATTGACGCATTTGTATCTTTGCGATGCGCGACTCATTGTGCACGGTCACAACAATTCTCTTTGTTCAAACGTGAGACAATCGGCAAAAAAAAAAGAATAAAGAAAAAAAGTATCTCAAATATCCGATCGCCAAGTTCAGAGTGCAAAAATATCATTTTTACGCTTGACTACCGTACGTTTTACTCCACTGGCGTAGTTTCCTCCTACCTCTCCCTTTACTCTCTTGCTCCCTTCCCACGCCGCTACTCCGTTCCTTATTATTACACGCCATAAGATGAGATAGAACCGACAGGCATTTAAGACTCTCACATCTCGGTAAACACCGAACAAGACCGCCTTACATCTTAAAAGCGACTATTTAGACATGTCACGGCGATGATCTCTGTCTTTTCTTTTTTTTCTTAAAGGAATATTGGAGCGACGGCTGAACTTGATCGATAAAACAGATTCTTAATTTCATTACGTACATTAAGAAAACACATTACATATATTAAATAAAACATTACATACATTAAATAAACCATTAAATAAAACGTTAAGTACACTTCTTGCTCTAACCTACATATTATATGAATATCAGGTTATGTATATTTAGATAGTATTTTTTTATTCATTTCTTTTATAAGCTTCAAAATCATTATTTGAAGAATCTCTTTATATTCTTATATACATTATTCAAATGTGAGAAAGTATTTTTTGTTAGGATGTACTTCAATTCATTTATACATGGTAACAGGAAACTGTAATTTACACTGTTAATTTCCCACAGTTATTTACGATTTTTCTTTTATTTTCTAGAGAAAGATTTTTACTCAATTTAAAAAAAAACGAGATGAATGGAAAAATATGAAATGCGCGTTTCGTCCGTAACTCCAGCATCCTCTTAACCTTTGACAACGCTTGTCCGGGGTAACCTTTTTTTGTTCGAAATTAAATTCCTCTTTCTAAACACTCGCGCGGATCGCCTGCAAGAGTTCTCACGTTCACTCGGTGATCCCGCATTTAAAAAGCCATGGAATGGCATATCACTACGTGTTTCTTGCTAATTAAGAAAGGCAGACATTTTTTTTAAACCGTGGTTTGTTACTTTATACATTACTATTGTCAATCACAATTCGCTTTGACGATTTTTGCTCAGAAAGTACGCTACGAATAAAGTTCGTGTACTTTCTGATTTTTTCCTCCTTTAAAAACAAAATTATGGATGTTCGCATATTATTTTCATTTTTTAGTTTATATATATATATAAAATGCGCAATAAAATATTATTCAACTGTGTTTATTTAGATACTCATTATTTAAATACTTACTCTTCAGACACCGTCATTCTTTCAGCTTAGGAGAGACACTCTTCATCAAAGGACACGTCGTCGATTTGCTAAGTCAATTCGTCATATTTTTTTTACTAGGCGCGAAATGCACATAAAAGCAATCTTCTTTCACCAAATAAAAAAAAATTATTTTCTTCGTCAATATCAATTATAATCGTATAATTTACATCATTGAATAAAACCAAATCAGTGATATTGTACTTGAAAACGACTTTTTGATGATAAAACGTTTCCAAGAAAAATGTGCGTGCGTGCGTGCGTGCGTGCGTGCGTGTGTAATTACGAATATATTTTAAAAGTTCCTGGTGTATTGACAATATCTTTTATCTAAAGTCAAGAATGTTTTTCGAAAAGAAGACAATGCAGAAGCATACTCGAGTATCATCAACGAAGAATGTTCTTCTCGATAATAGAAATCTGTCTGATGTAGAGACTAAACTGTTTCTTTTTGCATTCATCGGACTGCATGCCTGCAGTTTTTGCTCTTTTCAATAGCGAATTATATAACAATCTTCTTCAAACGAGTTATGGTAAAAAGTTATGATAAAAATTCTTTAAAGCACAGGAAGGCTTTCCTCAATCTCGTAGAACTGTCGCGCAAAAAATCTCCGTCCGAAGAATTCCTGCTTCGAAAGTTACTTTCCAATGAATTCCGACTCGCAATTTTTCGTCTTTACTTATTTATTAGTTTTATGCGAAAGGTGCCCAAATACACACACAAATCACAATCTTCACTTTCGTCATAAAACACAGATAAAACATTTCCCTCGCGCGTTTCTTCATGTCCTTCCGGTCCACAAAAAAGAGGTATGAGGAGAGGAAGAGATCCGCGTGCTCTCTTTCTCTCTCTCCCTCTCCCCCTTCTCTCTCTCTCTCTCTCTCTCTTCGACAATACAATGCACCACCGATGTGACGTATGTACGCACGTAGTGCGTCGCGCACTCACACCCGCCACACCCAACAACGCTCGTTGGAATTCCACACGTGACGATCACCACGCGCTCGTGCGTACGGCAAAGCGACTGACAAGTCGACGAGGCGACTCTGTCGGGCCCAGAGAATGGAGAGAAGAAAAGAAGGGGAGAGGAAAACATCTTCTCTGGCCTTCCCGGCTAGAATCCCATTGGCCGTTAGGGCCGTTTGGCGATCCTCGTGATGCCAGATATTGCAAAAGTAAAACGAAGACAAGACGAAGGTAAGATCAAGGTAAGACAAAAGTAAGATGAAGATAAAACGAAAGTAAAAGTTAGACGAGCAAGTAAGACGAAAGTAAGACAAATGTAAAGCAAAGATAAAATGATAGTGAAATAAAGATAAGACAAAGGTGAAATGAAAGTAAAGCGAAAGTAAGGCGAGGATTGAAACGAGAGTTTATAAGACACACGAGAGGATAAGATGGCTGGAGGCCTTTTTTTCCGGTTACATCCACTGGGTCAGACAATTAATCTTTGTGGACGAGTCGTTAAAGCGCAAGTCACCAATTTTATTTGGACCTACTGGTCCTGCCGAGGTCGTGTTCCAGGCCGTACCGTTCTGTTTCGTGTCGTTCCATTTCGTTTCGCTTTGCTGCGCTACACGTTGCGAAATTCAATGTCGTGTATTACATTGAATTTCTCTGGATACGCACGTAATGGTAGTAATAGCAGCAGTAGTAAGTAGTAGTAGTAATAGTGGTAGTGGTGGTAGTAATGGTGTAGTAGTAGTAGTAGTAGTAGTAGTAGTAGTAGTAGTAGTAGTAGTAGTAGTAGTAGTAGTAGTAGTAGTAGTAGTAGTAGTAGTAGTAGTAGTAGTAGTAGTAGTAGTAGTAGTAGTAGTAGTAGTAGTAGTAGTAGTAGTAGTAGTAGTAGTAGTAGTAGTAGTAGTAGTAGTAGTAGTAGTAGTAGTAGTAGTAGTAGTAGTAGTAGTAGTAGTAGTAGTAGTAGTAGTAGTAGTAGTAGTAGTAGTAGTAGTAGTAGTAGTAGTAGTAGTAGTAGTAGTAGTAGTAGTAGTAGTAGTAGTAGTAGTAGTAGTAGTAGTAGTAGTAGAGTAGAGAGTAGTAGTAAATAATAGTAGTAATCATAATAGCAGAGAGAGAATAATGTGCTTCTCTATCTGCTCACCTTCTCCCCCCCTCTCTCTCTTCCTCTTTCTCTCTCCCCCTTCCTTCACTTCTCGCTCTCCCCTCTCCGATCTTAACCATACGCACGTATGCACGTAACGAATACCGTTTCAATGGTTTCCAAATTTTTAAGTGATATCGCATGTGTGAGTATGTAGATGAGTTTGTACTGATATGATATGATGATAATTTGTTCAAAGTGTCGAAAAATAAACGCATTCGTCTTGCTAAGACTGTGAAATAGACTTTTCTTGACACAAGAAAAAAAAATCGATTCAGTTATACGATAATAAGAGCTATTCGAGCCACGCTAGTTGTCAATGCTTACTGTGGTCATCTTCAGTAGATAGATTTAAAAACATAAACATGGACATTGTATTAGCTCATACAATTAAATGTGATATAACCGAGTGAATATTATTCCTCTGTATAAATCCAAAACTTACAGATACGTGCATTTTTACAAAATATAAATCTCATAATTGTAAGTCGTCAAACTTAAGGACATATGACTCCACTACTACAGCATTATATGAGCAATTTGGTAATGTCCATGTTATGCTAAAATATAATATAATAATGATTACGTATTAATATAAATTTAATCAATAATGGTTACCTAAATCCTTGAAATAGAAGATACCTGCTGTGTATTATACAACGATTTTCATTAGTCATAAGTACGTGTAACAATGTGAAAGCAATAACATATTATTTACAATATAGAATGTCTGTCAGTGGAGATAGACATCTTTTTCTATGTAGGAAATAGAAGACCCAGGATGGGAAAATATTTAGCAGACAAACTTTTTGTTCTTATATATAGATCATTTCAGATTCTCTTGATATATGAAGGTTCGCGCGGTCTAAGATTTGTACATATACTGTCTCATGTAAATTCGTGATTTGTCGACAATCTATGGTCAAAAATGACTGTAAGGTAACTACTTTTTTTGTTAATATCTTTAAAATGTTCTTTTATTTTAATTCTTGTATTTAATTGCCTTTTCATTTGACCAATATGAGCTACTACAATTTTGACAATTAATTTTGTATACCACATCATATTGAAACCTATTATCCAATTTATCTTTACCAGTAGTTATGAAGTTTATTTATGAGGTATTGTAAGCTGGTTGTAAGTTGACATTTTTGGCAATCGAAAATTGTCCTGAAAAACCATTAATATATTAATAGTATAGTGAATTTTTAATAAAGAAAGTCCATGATGATTATCAGAATTCTTTTTTGTATTATATTAGGAATGTGATTTCGTGCGTTTGTAAAGTTCGCACTCCAACATTGAAATTCCATAGTTCTGATTAGAGTTTCCGTTTCCTTTTGACGAAACGAAAGAGTTCTATATAATTTATAACAAGAATTCCACTTAACAACTATTTTTAAATAATTTAAAAAATAAGATACTAACTTCTTCTCGAAAATCGAGATCAAATAATTCTGAGCTTAATAGCTCTATTTTATGAATATCTAGAGTTTCTGATACAAAAATGTGACAGAACTATTGTATAAAATGTTTTTTTCAAAAATTTTATATTAGGTGTTGGAATTAATTCGTAGCGTTTTTTAATGAAAGAATGTTATTTATTTCACATGAGCATTAAAAAATACATTAATGAAAGTACTTCCCATCACTTGTAAAACGCTACGAATTAATTCCAACACCTAATATAAAATTTTTGAAAAAAACATTTTATACAATAGTTCTGTCACACGTTAATTATTATGCTATCTATTTCGATGAGTTCTCAATGATTAAAACATAGATTCAATAATAAAAGAGATATGTACTTAAAACGGAATTTGAAAAATTAGTTGCAAAAGCACGTATCTCCTTATGTAGCCATTCAATCGCTTTGTGACCTAATATTTTGGACAAAATTCGTCAAGAACTAATATCCGAAAAATTTTCGGAATCTGGACAGTTCCCGATGAGCTCTATCGAAAAATATTATGTAGTAAAGCGATTAGAACAACGGTTTACAAGACACTTGAACTTTATCATTGAAAATTTTTTAAGTCGGAAGTCGAAAATTTTTTTAAGAATTCCAGTAGATCTGATTAGAATTCTGGGTAGAGTTCTCGACGAGTTCTGTCCAAAAGTATCAGATCACAAAACGATTGGCTACATAAGGAGATAGGTACGTGCTTTTGCAATCGATTTTTCAAATTTCGTTTTAAGTACGTATCTCTTTTATTATTGAATTTATGTTTTAATCACTGAGAACTCATCGAAATAGATAGCATAATAATTAACGTGTGACAGAACTATTGTATAAAAAAAATTTCTTTTTCAAAAATTTTATATTTTTAAAAATAAATTTTGTTATGTGTCGAAATTGCTTTTTTTGTATCAGAAACTCTAGATATTCATAAAATAGAGCTATTAAGCTCAGAATTATTTGATCTCGATTTTCGATAAGAAGTTAGTATCTTATTTTTTTAAATTATTTAAAAATAGTTGTTAAGTGGAATTCTTGTTATAAATTATATAGAACTCTTTCGTTTCGTCAAAAGGAAACGGAAACTCTAATCAGAACTATGGAATTTCAATGTTGGAGTACTAACTGTACAAACGCACGAAATCACATTCCTAATATAATACAAAAAAGAATTCTGATAATCATCATGGATTTTCTAGTCCAGAGCTATTTTTTTCAAAAATTTTTTATTTTTTTATAAATTTTATTATGTGTCAAAATTGTTTTTATGTATCAGGAAGATATTCACAAGATATTTTCTAGATATTCACAAAATAGAACTATTAAACTTAAAACTATTCAATCTTGAATTTCAATAAGAAGTTAGCACCCCATTATTTAAAAATAGTTATTGAGCGAAACTCTTATTAGAAATTATATAGAACTCTTCGTCTCGTCAAAAGGAAACGGGAACTTTACTAATCAAAACTATGAAATTTCAATGTTGGAGTGCTAACTTTACAGACGCTGATTTAGATTTTTGAAGGTTCTTTTTTCTCAAAAACTGATTTATTTAAACAAGATAATGAACAAATACCTTAA